AGAGCTCAGAGTTTCCTGGGTGAATTCATTTCTCCAGAGGAACTTCCATTTCCTGGAAGCAGCATATGCAAGGGAGGAATAAAAAGACACTGGCCCCCAGGGCTTGGGATACAGCTCCGTGTAAAAGCATTTGTAAGGTCCTGGGTTCCATTCCCAGAACCTCAAAAAGAAATGTACACAGGACCTGGAGTGAGAGCTTCTGGGTTAGAGTCTCGTGTAAGATACATATGAGGCCAGGAATGCATGCAGATCAAGGTGTCTGGCTAGCATTACAGTCCTGTATTTGATATTCCCCGTCTCTAACACCAGAAAGATTTATTTCTTCCTTCCTTCCTTCCTTCCTTCCTTCCTTCCTTCCTTCCTTCCTTCCTCCTTTCCTTTCTTTTTTCTTTTGCTCAAGACTCATGAGTTGCCTATACAGCATCTAGTATTTAACATCTTTGAGCCTATGTCTTCTATCTGTAAAATTAACCAATGAAACCTATTGCTTCTCTATAAATGATTTTCACGAGTTGAGAGAAAAAAACTGAAGCCTTGCCAAGATGAATAGCACTCTATCACAGTTTCTTACTTACTTAAATGTGTTTGTTTTGGGTGATGGGGGGTTTGAGACAGGCTCTTGCTACGTAACCCAGACTGGCTTCAAATTCACTATGTAACTCAGGATGACCTTAATTTTCTGATTCTCCTACTTCCACCTCTGGAGTGCTGGGATTGCAGGTTAGTTTGGTGTAATACTAGGGGCTGAGCCTAGGGCTTTGTGAAGGCTAGGTTAGCCCTCTACCGACTGAGCTGCATCCCTAGCCTAGTGCCTCATGTATCTCTATGTGGTAGAATACTATTTGCTCTGCAGGGGCTGGGGAGATGGCTCTGTCATTAAGAGCACTGGCTGTTCTTCCTAGAGGACCCGGGTTTGATTCTCAGCACCCACATGGTGGGTAACAGCCATCTGTGACTCCAGGTTGCCCTCTTCTGACCTCTGAGGTACACACATTCATATACATAAAATAAGTCTAAAAGATATATTTTTTTAAACGAATTGTTCTATATTTGGGATTGCTGCTACCCTACCTAGGTTATTGGGCATCTTTCTCATTCTTTTCTTTTTTTTCTTTACAGGCTTTCTCTAGCCTGTAGCCCTAGCTATCCTGGAACTTGCTCTATAGTCCAGGCTGACCTTGAATCACAGAGATTCACCTGCTTCTGCCTGAATACTGGGATTAAAGGTGTGCACCATCACCTCCCAACATTATCCATTATCCTTCTCTTCCTTTTTATTTTTTATTTATTTATATTTTTAAAGATTGATTTGTTATGTACATAGTATTCCGCCTGCATATATGCCTGAAGGCCAGAAGAGGGCACAAGATCTATATACAGATGGTTGTGAGGCTCCATGTGGTTGCTGGGAATTGAACCCAGGTCCTCTGAAATAGCAGTCAGTGTTCTTAACCACTGAGCCATCTCCCCAGCTTCTCACTTCCTTTTTAAAATAATTAATATTTTTAGAGTTTAGTATACCAAGTGATTAATTTTATTATGGTACACACACACGCACACACACATGCATGTGTACACACGTTTCATTGTCTTTGTTCTTATTCAGCCCTCTCCCACACTGATTTTCCTCATCACTTATTGCCCCTCTGTTGCTCTTCCTTCCCCTGGTTTTTCTTCTGCTTTCATATCATATGCATATCACCTTTTCCCCCCTCCCTCTTACTTTAAAGATTATTTGCGGGGGGGGTGTTCCTGTGCATATTCGCGTGCACACACGTGCATGTTAGTGTGCACCCACCTGCACTGGGGATCAAATCCAAGGCTTTGTATATGCTAAACACATCCTCTACCACTGAGATACACCCCAGCTCACTCTTGGCTTCTGTATTCTCTACCCCCAGAACCCTTGTGTCTCTGTGCTGACCTTGGCCCACTTTAGAAAGCTTGCCTTGACCTTTCTTTCAAAGCTTCTATAATCAGAAAAGAAGACTTTTTCTGTGGCATGGCTTGCCCTGATGCTGAGATTCTTGCCAAACCTAATCCCAGAGAAAGTGCTTCCCAAATGATGCTGCAGGTAATAGGAAAGAAATTAATTTTCCTTTCTGGCGCAGCCTCTGCATTGTGACTCTGGGTTATGGTAGGGTCAGTGTCAGAGGGTAAAAAGTCACCAAAGACAGCTGAAGAATTAGTGAGTATCCAGTTGACACAACGAGACGGCACGATAAGCAAAATATTCAATATATTAGCCTGTGTATGTGGGTCAGCATGAGCATTCCAACCCATATACTTAGCTCCGGAGTTCAGTCAATCGGGAAAGAAACTTGAGTGCCAGAGTCTGTGATACACCAGAAGCCAGACAGGAATGTAAAGGTCAGGTGTCAATCAGTGCTCTACCACCTGCCCAGCATGCAAAGGGGTGTAGAGCAAGCAGGGTACCACAGAGGCACATGCAACAGGAAAGTGGACAGAAGAGAGGAGAGGGGAACCATGCGAATTTCCTGCCCCCCTCTTCCATCTTTATCAGGGAAGTTTTATAAAAACAGAACACAGGGCTAGGGTGAGGCTCAGGGGTCCAGCATGCCTAAGACCTGAGCCCAGTCCTTAGCAAGGAAACAAAGCCGAGAAAAAGAGAGGTGAGGAGGGCACAAGGCGGAGAGGGGCAAGGTGGTTTCATTCTTCTGGCTTTCTTGCAAACTTACTGCTTGGGCCAGAAATTTGACCTTTAAAGCGTCTGATTTCTTTGTGAATACCTTTTCTCCTGCATGAGACAGCATGCTCCCTGTTTCCCATCTCTCCCAGTTCCCACTTTGAGCATTTATTTGGTTGAATGAAATGATTGCCAGCTTTCAGGAGAGAATCATAGTAAGGAACAGGCTACCACCCATTTCCATGACAAAATGCAGCAAGTGACTCAGCCTGACTCAGCAGCAGCGCTGCTACCAATAAAAGAGAGAGATTTGACAGGGACCCCAGTCCCTTCCGGGCAGACTCAGGCCATCTTGAACTAGCTGCCCTCCTGCTTTGGACTTTTGGTAAACAAACAAATGAACAGCTCTCCAGGCTTTAGAACATCACAGGGACACTTCCTAGGGACTTCCGTCAGAAGCTGCCCTTTGCGCCCCCTCCTACTGAGGAACTGGAGTGAGGAAATGCTTAGTCCAGAAGATCCTGCCCTTCTACAGCTTTTACATGGCATGTGCTTGATTTAAGATATCCTGGGACACATTGGAACCTTCCACTTTTCCCCCTCTTCCATTTTTACCCCCTATGTATCTTTATGTACTTTTATGTATCTTAGGCTGGCCTCAAATTCAACTATGTAGCTGAGGATGACTTTTGAATTTCAGGTCCTCCTGACATTTACCTCTGGATTACAGGTGGGTGTCACCATGTCCAGCTCTCTCCACATTCTGCTGACTTTTTTCTCCACAAGAATGAAAAATTGAGCCTCCAGTCACTGGGTGACCTCTGATAATTCACTCTGCCCATTTGGGTTTTTAACTATTCCATTTAAATCAGGTAATACTGCTTTCTCTCCCAAAGTCAGGGCATTAGAATGTGGAGTATCTAGAGGACCCTTTTAACCTGGAGTGATTTTTCCCCTCCTTTTCAGTGTGTGTGTGTGTGTGTGTGTGTGTGTGTGTGTGTGAAGTAGAGCTCCAGATTTTATTAAAGGTATTTTAATAAAGGCTTAAGCATGAGGGTGAAGAAAAAGAGGGACTCAGAAGGAAGTAAGGCATATGCAGCAGTGGTATGGGCTCCTTAAAGAAGAGGTGCCCCTCCTTTTCATTTTTCTTTTTTTCCTCTTTTTAAAATATTTTATTTTAGCTGGGGGGTGGTGGTGCACATCTTTAATCCCAGCACTTGGGAGGTAGAGGCAAGCGGATCTCAGTGAGTTCGAGGCCAATCTAGTCTACCAAGCGAGTTCTGGGACAGCCAATACTGATTGTTACACAGAGACACCCTCCCTCGAAAAACCAATATATATATATGTATATGTATATATATATATACATATACATATATATATATTCTGTGTGCATGTGTGTGCGTCTGTGTGGGTAATACAGTGGAGGCTGCAGCAGCAGAAGCTAGCAGAGAAAGTTAGGTTTACAGGTGAACCCAGCTCAGGTCCGGTAGAGAACATAATGCACTCATGGATGAGCCATCTCTACAACAGCTCCACCTCATTCTTCATTTCCTTATTTCTTTTATAGTTCTAGGAATGGAACCCAGGGCCTCCTACAAGCCAAGCATTGTGGTCCACTATTGAGTTGCACCTCCAGTCTTTTTTTTTTTTTTTTTTTTAAGTTCTCCAACATGGGGAAACTCCTTGTTAAGGTCCTTGTTAAGGACCCCCTTGTGTCTTTCAGAGTGTAGTTGTGACCAGGAAAGAATAGTATTCAAATTTGACTTGGAAGACAGAGTTAAGGCTAAGTGTCCCTTGGGGCTTGGGTCCTTTTAGACAGAGAAAGGCCCTGAGGCCAAGGTCACCCAGGTCACTCTAACAAAAATGAGTCTCAACTCCACACCAGCTTCGAAGAAGCACCCTCAAATATCTTGGCGGTGTCTGAGTTTTCTTCAGTCACAGAGCTCACGTCTTAACTCGAATCTTTTTTCATTCCCAAGTCTCCCTTATCACACATCCCACACACCCTCCCACCTAATCCCAAACCGTGGCCGCACCAGGGACTAGCTCTCTCTCTGGCCCCACCTCTCGCCAGCCGTCTGCCTCTAGAGGGCAGGGCCCACCTGTGCCTGGGGGCGGGGCCGAGGCGGGGGCGGGACAGGTAGGGTGTAAGGTAAAGCTCTGAGCCGAAAGAAAGCGCCCTAACTGTAGCGAGCGAACGCAGGAGCCCGCGGGCACCTAGGAGAGCCTTCTAGACTGGTTACAGGAGCGAGCGGGGAGGGAGGGAGGGAGGTGGCGGGCCTGCGACGAGGAGAGGCGTGGAGTGGACACTTGGGAAGGAGGAGCCGGGCTCAGCGGCCGGAGAGAGACCTGCGAGACGCCCGCGCAGCCGAGGGACCCCAACGCGCGGAGTATGAGCGGCCGGCCGGCCGGAGAGCGACCGGGGGAGACTTCTTGCGCGCCACGCTGAGCGGCGGAGCCGGGTCGGGGCAGCGGGTACGGGGTAGCCCGTGCTTGGGCGGCCGGCCGGGCGCAGAGCCATGGGGAGCCCCCGCGCCGCGCTGCTGATGCTGCTCCTGCGTCCGATCAAGCTGCTGAGGAGGCGCTTCCGGCTGCTGCTGCTGCTCGCCGTGGTATCTGTGGGACTCTGGACTCTGTATCTGGAGCTGGTGGCGTCGGCCCAGGCCGGCGGGAACCCCCTGAATCGCAGTACGTAGCGCCGGGGGCCAAGGAGGTGGCAGAGGTGGGCGGGCGCTCCCGGGCAGGGATCCGCCTCTCCGAGCAGGCTCCAGGTGCCAGCGCCGCCCCTCGCTTTACCCGCGACCCTGGCTGGTGGGGGCCGCCGTGGGTTCCTGATTCTGACCTGCACAGGGCAGAGTGGGACCAGGGCGCTCTCGTGGCTCCTGGAGCGCCGGGAGAGGTTTGGGGCGCCTTCCACCGTGCGGAACAAGCAGCATCGCGGACAGAAACGCGTGGTTAGCGAGCGCGGGCTCCGGCGCTGCGGCGCAACTGCGGTCGGCGCCGCCCCAGCTTTGCCCTCCGCTTGCTGGTGTGTGGTTGGCTCCGTTTCCCCTCCGGCGGAACTTTCTGGGGTTCTTTTTCAATTACACCTTCGAGAGAGCCGCCTGGCCTTCCAGCATCGCGTGCGCCACTGTTTCCAAGTATCCCACCTACTGAATGCGTAGCCCTCCGCTCGTCCAGACTGCCTCCTCCAGTGTTTGAAGCCCTTGCAAAGCCCGCGGGTCTAACAAACTCCCTAGATCCCTCTCAAGGCGACCTTGCCATGGGTAGATTCCTACTTACATTTTTATTTCACCAAAAGCATTCACGTTTCTGCTTAGGAAAACGGGAGAAAATGGCTTTTCCCTTCTCCAATAGGTATGATTATCCACAGTGACTTCCAATATACTTTTGATTAGCCTAACAAAGTTAAATGTCATGTGGTAACCAGAAAGGAGTGGAGAAGTTTCCAGAAGGGTCAGGTGCCCTTCCCCAGCCTAAAGAGGAAGTTCGCATTTATCTTCTGCCTGGGTTTCGCTTTTCTGCTTAAAGAATCTCAAAGAATACCCTCTTGGTAGATACTTTGGTCAACAACTGGATGTGGTCTTTTGTCTTTTGTGGCCCAGAAGAAATTATTGTCTCAGAACTAAGCAGGGTCGGTTTGGAGACGTGTGCTTATAGATAGCCCAACCTCTTTGTGGCAAAGAACATAATTCTAGCTGTGAGCTAGGAGGGCTGACTGTCACAAGGGATCAAGCTACTATATGTAGCTAGAGATCAAGAGGAAAAGAGGGATTTGGCCTACATGGTCTCCAGAGCCCCTCTCAGTTGGGATGAGAGAAGTATGGCCCCTGCCTCTTGAGCACTGCCAGGTGAGAGAGCCCGTGCACCTGGGGAAAAAGGCTGCTCTTAGATGCAAGCGTATAGCCATACTTAGAATTCTTTCTTCGCTTGACCCCAGCCTCCATGCTCCGGTTTTGTTTTTTGGAGAAGCCTTCATACTCTGGTCACCCAGGTACAGGTGGCTGAGTTTCCTTGGAGTGTGGAGGGGTCGGGGAGGCTTGAATTCATTTCCTCCTCAGAACACCGTTTGCCAGCATGGTTCTTGGGGTACTCTATATACACTAGACAGGAAAGCCATTGCTCTGTTGTCCTGAAGTCAGTGGTTGCCCTCCCTCCTCTTCACTTTTCCTCTACCTCAGGAGTGCTTTCTGGTCCAAGACCAGGCCCAGCTGGCTGCAATAAAATAATTAATAATAATAGTAATAATAATAATAAGCTTGCACCCTGACTCACTTCTAGCCTCTGGATCTTGCTGGCTTCTTTATACCAGTTTCTGAATCTGTTGTGTTTCTCTCCTCGGTGGATCTGACTTGTGGACTTTTAAATTTTATTTTAAAAAATTATTTCTTTTTCCAAACTGACCCTTCTCCAAAAATATGTTCCCAGCTTCTTACTCCAAAATTGACTTTGTGCTCCTTGTGTTTTCTTTTTTTCTTTTTGAGACAGCCTCTCACTCTGCAGCCCGTGCTAATCTGCAGCTTACTATAGTGCAGGCTGGGCTTGATTTCAAGGTCTTCCTGCCTCAGTTTCCTCAGTGCTGACAGTGGGTCAGTGGGTGTATGTCAGAGAGTCTGTCTTTCTCCTTGTGCTTTCTTTCTGTTTTTTTATTTTTTATTTATTTTTTATTTATTTTTTTAGTCAGGAGTTCTCTGTGTAGCCCTGGCTGTCCTTGAACTCACTCTGTAGGCCAGGCTGGCTCAAGCTCACAGAGATCCACCTACCTCTGCTTCCCCAGTGCTGGAGTTAAAGACATGTGCCACCATGCCTGGTTCCCTGTTGTGATTTCTAAAGAGAGCCCAAGCCTGGCCACTGAGGGCCACGATTCCCTCTTCTTAGATTCCTAGGACTCTAAAGTCCATCTGCTGTGACATGGGTTCCAGTCCTGTTTTGATTTCTTTATGGTGGGGGGGGAGGGAGGCAGGGCAAGATTTGAAAGATGGCTATACTTGTTCCCTATACTTTTTTTTGTTTTGTTTTAAGAAGCCCAGATGTTTTGGATCAAAATTCCCTCTTATGCTGTGTCTTACTCGCAGCTCAGAGCTATTCTCTGGGGAAGGAGTAGGGAATTAGATAGGAATGGAAAAGAAGGGGGTTGCTAGTGTTCCCTCCTCCACACCCTGCATACCAAGAGCTACCAGAGTAGTAAAGCTGCCCCTCCCAGCTGTACCCAGGGCTTGACCACAGCCATCAGTGCCCCATCGTAGCCCTGTTTCCCAACGAGCCACCCTGCCACTTTCTAGCAATCTCTGCCAGCTCAGCCCACCTCCCGCCTTCTTGTCATCTGTGAGGCTGGCCTCCAGTGCCCAGAGCCTGTCATTTGCTGTCCCTGTGTGAGGTATATTGGTTTAGCCCTGGAAAAGTGTACAGAGGATGGCAGTCCCAAACTCTAGGGTGGCAAAGTAATGACAGGGGAGCACACTTCCTGCTCCGTCTTCACTAAATAACCTGGTAGTTTAAGATATGAATGGTGTGCAATTTGGGCTCCATATGCAGAAAAAGACATAATCACTGTTGGGATAGCTTTAAAGGAAAACAACTAAAATTATTAACAAATAGAAGAGGGTTTCTTGGCTGAAATGATGACAGCTGTTTGCTCAGTCATGTTTGTTTAATACATAGCTCAAACAAAGCAATGTGCTAGGTTGTTTAGATATGATGACCAAGATATGGCGTCTTAGATAGGGTTACTAATGTTATAATGAAGCACATTGACCTAAAACAAATTGGGGAGGAAAGAGTTTATTTGGCTTATGCTTTCACATCATAGTCCATCATTGAAGGAAGTCTGGGCAGGAATCTGGAGGCAGGAGCTGATGCCAAGATAGTGGAGGGTTGCTGCTTACTGGCTTGTTCCACAGTACTTAATCTATCTTCCTTCCTTCCTTCTTTCCTTCCTTCCTTCTTTCCTTCCTTCCTTCCTTCCTTCCTTCCTTCCTCCTCCTCCTCCCCCCCCCCCCCCGTTCATGGGTGTTTTGCCTGCATATATGTCTGTGTGAGGGTGTCAGAAGCCCTGGAACTGGAGTTACAGACATTTATGAGCTGCCATGTGGGGGCTGGAAACTGAATCTGGGTCCTCTGGAAGAGCAGCCAGTGCTCTTAACCACTGAGCCATTTCTCCAGCCTGCTTTCTTATACACCTCAGGACCACAGCTCAGGGATAGCACCACCAATAACAGGCTGGGTCCTTCCATATCAATCACTAACTAAGAAAATGCTCTACAAGCTTGCCCACAGCCTGATCTGATGGAAGCATTTTCTCAGTTGAAGCTCTCTCCTCCCCAGTAAGTCTAGCCTGTGTCAAGTTAACATAAACCTAGCCAACACATAATGATTTCTTTGTTCTAGAACTTTCTGTCTAGGAGTGGGACAAGGTGTTGATATGAAAAAAATCAAGCTGGGCGGTGGTGCCACACATCCTTAACCTAGTGTTTGGAAAGCAGAGGCAGGCGGATTTCTGAGTTCAAGACCAGCCTGGTCTACAAAGTGAGGTCCAGGACAGCCAGAACTACACAGAAAAACCCTATCCGGAAAACATTCATTAAAAATTTCAAAAGTAGAAAGTAGATGTTGCTGTGATAATTCTGAAAATGGGATACAGCTTTCAAATAATTTCATGGAAGTGGAGATATTTTAGAGAGATGGTGAGGAGTTGGTTAAGTTCTGGTGAGCTGGGGCTGGCGAGATGGCCCTTGGGTTAAGAGCCCTTACTGCTCTTGAAGAGGACCCAAGTTTGGTACGCAGGATCAACATGGTGGCTCATAGTGATTTGAATTCCAGTACACAGGATCCAATGCCCACTTTTGGCCTCTGCCAGGATAGCATGCACACAGTGTACTTACTGACGCAAAGCATGCACAAACTAGAAACAGATTCTGATGGGTTGAGGCTGGGGATGTAGCTTAGTTGATAGTATGTTTGCTTAGTGTGGATGCAGCTCTGGGTTTGATTCTTAAGACCCATAGAGAACTGAATGTGCTGTACATCTGCGACCATAGCACTCTGAGGTGGAGACAGGAGGGTCAGAAGTTCAAGGCCAGCCTAGACTACAGTGAGACCCCGCCTCAAAACAAGCAAGCAAGCAAACAAACAAACAAACAAATAAAGCAAAAAACCTGAAAGAAGGAAAAAGAAGATTCTAATGGAGAATAGAAAAAAGGCTACACAGAGGCAGCCAAGACCAGGAGTCAGGGAAAAGTTAGTGTTTGGTAAGGTTGAGCGGCTGAGTGTGGTAAGACAGAAGGTGTGTAGGTAAATGAAGGGTGAGTTACATGGCAGCTCTCCTGCAAGACTTTGAGTAAGAGGGAAACGTGGCATTTAGTTCACCAAAAGCAGAAAAGCAGTTAGGAGTTTTAGGTAGAATAATATTGCTGTGTGGAACAGGCAAGAACCATAGAAGATCTGTTTAATAATACTTTGAGGATAGGTAGTTGGAATAGGGTCTTGAGAGCTCTTTGCTGTATCCCATAAATCCTTAAATGACCGGGTGGTCAAAGATGCTCTGGGGTACGTCATTGCAGTAGTGGTGGTGCTCGGAGGACCCGAGGTGACAGTGTATTCAGATGTGCACCTAAGTCTTTCAGTATTTTAATAACTAGTGTAGCTACGCTGATGTGTAGTGGATGAATAGCAGCCCTGAGAGCGACTGT